CGGCAATCGCCCGAGCTTTTACGGTGGTCGCGGCACGCCCGGCCCACGCGGCAACCAGCCCGGCACCGAGACGGCGCGCCGCGAGCAGCTTGGCGACTTCTATCTCTATCCACTGGCTGAGCGCACCACGATCGCCAATGCACAAACCAAGCAAGTCAGCTTCCTCGACGTGGCCGGGGCACCGGCGGCCAAAACCTATTTCTATCGCAGCCCCTGGCTGCAAAAGCTGGACGAGGCGGTCAGCGTTGACACGGTGCTGAGGTTCAGTTCGTCGCGCGAGGGCGGCCTCGGCGATGCGCTGCCCGCTGGCACGGTGCGCGTCTATATGCGCGATGCGCGCGGTGCGCCGCAATTCATCGGCGAAAGCGAAATCCCGCACACGCCGATGGGATCGAAGCTCGCGCTCAAGACCGGCGAAGCGTTCGATGTGAAGATCCTGCCCGTGGTCGAAAAGCGCGAGCGGATTTCGGACGAACGCTGGCGCACGACGATGCGCTACACGCTCACCAATGCGCGCGCGCAGGGCGTGACGGTCGAACTCGCCCAGGCCGGGCTCGATGGCTGGTGGCACGACACGAAGATCACCGACGAAAGCCAGCCGAGCACGCGTGTCGATGCCGATGAGGCGGTGTGGCAAATCGCCGTGCCCGCCAACGGAACCGCGAGCGTCACCGCGACCTTCGACACGCGGTTCTGAGCGCGGTGCGGCGCGTGCTGCGCTGGATGGTGGCACTGCTGGTCGGCGCGCTGGCGAGCGCGGCACCCGCGCAAACTGTATCGCCCGGGCCCGGCCGCGTTGCCGTGACGATCTACCGTGCGCCCCGGCGTGCGCCCGATCAGGGGATCGATCGCGCCTGGCTGCAAGGCTATGCGCTGATCACCGAACAGCGCCGCGTGACCATCCCGGCGGGGCGCACGACGCTGCGCTTTGAAGGTGTGGCGGCGGGAATTTTGCCCGAAAGCGCGATCGTCACCGGCCTGCCGCACGGCGTGCGCGAGAAAAATCTCGATGCCGATCTGCTCTCGCCGCGCAGCCTTTACGCGGGCAGCTTTGGCCGTCCGGTGACGATCCGGCGGACGATCGCCAAGCGCATCGTCGAGGAGGACGCGATCCTCCGCTCGGGGCCGGATGGTGCTGCGATCCTGCAGACGCGCGACGGTTTCATTGCCGCCGATTGCGGGTCGTCGCGGGATGCGCTGGTCCATGACCGCGTGCCGCCGACGCTCGCCGCCAAGCCGACGCTGTCGGTCGAGCTCGATTCGCCCGCCGCTGCGAGCGTCACCGTTACGCTCTCCTATCTCGCCTGGGGGTTTGACTGGCAGGCCAATTATGTCGCGACGCTGCGTCCCGATGGCCAAAGCGCCGATCTGCTCGCGTGGGTGACGCTCGCCAGCAGCGACACCACCAGCTTCGCCGATGCCGAGACGATGGTGGTGGCGGGCGCGGTGAAGCGCGAAGGCAGCGCACCCAATCCAGCCTGGAGTGCCCGCGACGAGTCGCTCACTTTTGCGTGTTTCGCCCATCCCATCGAGGTTCCGATGATGGCGGTTTCGGCTCCTCCGGCACCCGCGCCGATGGCGTTTGAGGCGGATATCGTCGTCACAGGGACTCGCTTACAGCGCGCGATGGTGCAGCAGGAAGATCTTGGCGACCTGAAACTCTACCGCGTGCCCGATCGCACCACCG